TATCTGGGCTTTGTATCTGAATGTGTGCATTTATGCTTTTGACTGGGTGAATATATGTCTACTATAAATTGATTTGAGTGCTCAGTATAAATTAATAAAGCTGTAAATATTTTGCCCATTTACCATATTCTGATGGCTACTTTCAGAGAAATATGTGTCACAAAGCTAAACTCTGAATGTTGTACAACCAGTCTCCAGCACCCGGTCTAATGGTTTTGGGATGCTGTAGAACAGGAAATGTTCATTATGAATGTGCTTAGTGACCAGAGGTGTAGCCAGAATTTTTTTAAAAGGGTGGCCAGGCAATAACGAGTGTACACTGAGAGGTGGCCGAAAGCGGATAGGCACCAGAACCTCACGGTCAACCTACACTTTTCCAACAGGAAAATTAACGAGTACAACTTCCATATTTTCAAAATAAAGACAAACTATACTTTCCTACAGCCTTTACTAACAAATAAACACATATATTTAAACATCCCTAATTTCTAGATAAAATGTATATAGTGGATAAAACTCAGTTTTGAGTTTTGGGGCGTAAATCAATCATCATTGTTATTACTTACCTACTTGTATCAATAAACATTCTGCATAGAATTGATATTTACAAGCACCGATATCTACATAAATTGATTATTTGATAGGTTTTTATTAAAATTGTTATTTATCTTTGATTTCACTGAAGACTCCTTGATGACTTGCAGAGACACATAATTTTCTCTTCACCCCATATAAGACAAAATCTAGTTCTGAAAAGAGAATGAATTCTGTACTTATCATCATTTATGTCAGTATATTGATGTGAATAATTAACCACAAAAAAATCAAATGTTTTGAATACGGCCCCCCATCTAGCTCTGCCCCTGCTTGTGACAGATCTGCAACAATTTTGTGATGTCGAGCAATATGGAGCAAAATACAAACAATTGGGTCATTTTTTGTCACAAAGCTTCTAAGCTGCTCCCAGGGCATAATAGAGTCATACCCTGCACTCCAAATGTTTATCTGATAGGTGGCTGGTTGGTTTATGATAGGAATCTTTAACTTTGGTCATTGGGACCCCCTGCATGGTTTTATTTTCTCCCTACCTCAACACACCTGACCTAAATGAATAGGAAATAAATGGCCTCTACAGGCCTTTGTGGCTGCTGAGGAGGTAATGCAATAATTTCATCCAGGTGTACAGCAGCAGACACGTCGAAAACATGAGCAACAGTGGGCCTTGAGGACCATGTTAAAAAAAAATCCTGGCCTATTCATTGTTCTCTGGTGTTTTAATGACAGCATGCACAAAACTTACTCTACCACTAGAGGGAGCTAGACAGCAGTGGTGAACAAATAAACCGAAACCCCTCCTCAAATGAATACTCTATATCTGGTATAAACAGGTTTTGATTTA